CGAAGCATCGAGTATGTCTTCCATAATGTAGAACTTTTGTAAGTCTTACTAAGAATTTCGAAGTATGCAAGCAAAAATTTTCTGTGAGGGTTTGTACCTTGTTTTCAATGCGCCAAGATTCAAATTTTTCATACTCCTTTTGGTACTCATTTTTAGACTTGGATGGCACCAAATCATTTACCGCATTATATCAGCTAATTCACGCAATTCCGGTGGTGTTGAAGTTAGTTCTTCGTCTGACATTGTAGGCTCTTTAGTGAAATGTAGGTAATGGATTTTATTTTTCAAATCTAAAGATAATTTCGCAAATATGTATATCTCGTGAAGAAATTTGAAAGATCGGTTACTATGGAAACCAAGCAAATAGTCAGTACTGCCAACACAATTTATATCGAAAATATTTTTAAATTTATCCATAATTAATAAACAATGCGAAACGAGCCCGAAACAGAGAAAATAGTATAAAACATTCGTTGCAGAAGGCCTTCTAAGCACTCGTTCATTCGAACCCTCGCCGCTACGCGGCTCAGGTTCGAAACTTGAACTCGTGTTAGAATAGAGGGCCTTCTGCAACTTATGTTTTAATATACTATTCCTGGTCCCTTTGATTCTTTCCGTGCGCTGAATATAAATACCCAAAATATTGTTTTAAAATACAAATTTACAGGGAAGTAAACTAATTTTCAGAAATTCTATATGCGTTGTAATGTTTCATATGTAAGTATTTTGCGTTTTAATTCGTAGATGTTTGAATATTTAGATAAACTTCTTTGAGATTTTGTGACATTTTTTGACGTTTCGTCAACCTTATCTGAAATAATAGTATATTATATACCGCGGGACTGAAGTAGTACTTTTAATCCCGAAGGTAAAGTTTATGGCCCGACCGAAGGGAGGGCCATAATTTACCTGAGGGATTAAGACCACTACTTCAGTCGCAAGGTATATACGATATTTTTCGTACTTCCGAAACTGAAACACTTAATATGTATGGGGTTAGAGAACTTACGCGTTCTTTCAAAAAATCGCTGCTTAACAAGTTACCATAGGAACGTTGCGTTGGTACGACAAACCCTATGCTATGGTAACAAAAATAAATTGGAAACTGTCATTGCTAGTGTCACAATTTTGGTGGTGGGTGACAAAGGTGTAATTGATCAAAAGCAGCCAAACTAGGTAAAGAATTGATACCACCGAAATCCAAAAAAGTATATGAGCAGCAGTACGATACGTTTAAGAAGTGGTGCCGCATACAAAATGTGGAACAACCTACTGAAATTGCCTCGTTAGTAATTTCACCCTTCCGGGATTTTCTTCCAAATTTAATCCCGGCGGGACAAAAAGTGACACTTCAGTACTTGTCATAGCGGAGTGAAGTTGTCACTTTAGTCTTGGAAGTACGAAAACTAATTAAACAAATCGCCTTTGAAATGATTTGAGAGTAACCATGAAAACGCATTTTCTATAACTGTTACAAAATAAAAATGTTGGCGAGTTTGTTGTTTTTTGTTATCGATTTAAAAGAAGTATAATAAAAAATATCGTTCATTACATGTCCAGAAATGCTTTTTCCGTGCTTGCATGACTTCCCGTGTTCGGCTACGCCTCACACGGGAATTTGCCACGCGCGCACGGAAAAAGCCTGCTTTCCGGACTCGTAATGAAATATACTATTACAGGCGGCCACCACGTTATTTTATCATTTTAAAGTAATTTCCACTAGTGACGTTATTACAATCACCTTAAAGTGGTGAAAACTTACAAAATTCACCACAAAGTTTTTATCACTTGATAGTGAATTTATATTTTGCAACCGTTCGTTTTGTGCGTTCATGTGGGCAAGTTGTGCAGCAATCTACAATGAATAGTAAACATGGTCTTCGTAAAAAAAAGTCTTTCGTCATTCTACAACGTTTTATAGACGTTTAGCAAAACAACTTAGACCTACTGATTCTATACAATGTCCAGAGGTCCAACCAATTGTTAATTTTGATGTTAATTTGCAACAATCAGTAGAACCGATCGACAAACCATCGACTTCGTCAACGTCAAGTGAATCAGTGGAGTTTAGCTATCAACAACATAATGAAACTAATATTGCTTTGGATGACAATAGTCATATTATTAATGAAGTGTTGCTACCTGCAGAGGATAATCAGGAGGTTAGGTTAGGTTATGTTAATATGTTAAGCAGTATTGCTACATTTACAAATTTGTAGATACAGTTAGAGTAACTGGCATCACTGTGCACATTTACTTCAAAGTGGCAATTGAAGTTGGCATTCGCGTGATCATCACTTTGTTAAAGTGGCGCATTTTTACGGATAGTGCGTCTTGCCACTTATTTGTTGAACTTCACCATGTAGTGGGTTATTTAAGTGCAGACCACTTCAAAGTATTAGCCTCTAAAACAGACCTGTTTGTAGCGTTTTTCGATACCGCCATTATGATAAATACTGCAAGCGATAATATTTATTACGTCATATCGCTTCAAATGTTGTTTCTAAAGTCCTATTATGAGCTTTACGTAACTATAATAAATGTTTGAAAGGTTTTCAATTACCTAAAGAATATAATTTATACAACATTAAAAACTATTACGTGAATTGTTTTTCCTAAATACGAAAAATTTCAATGGCGCGTGTAGTTTTAGTAAGGCAGAAGGCATATATTTACCATAAATTTTCAAGCGTTTTATTTTTTTCGGTTCAGAAACAGGTTCATTTAATATAATTCTAATATGTATAAAATGAATGGCTGTTCGTTACAAAATATAATGGGCATTATTTATATTATTTCACTTATGTTAGGATACTACATTAAATACTTCATCTGCAATTCTGTTACGTTTTGTGACCCCTGAACAGTCAAAATCATACCCCCCCTCATGTACAGTGCATTCCGTCTCGTTTGTTTCGGAATAGTCTACTTCCAGCTCATCATTTCTTAGCATACAAATGTTGTGTAGAACACAACATGCAATAATTATTTTGGGCACAAAATCTGTGTTAGACCCGTCTTACACGAGCAATAAATATGTCCCTATTTCTGAATTTAATTGTGTTGGAAAGAATATGGTGCGTGTAATACACCGATTATAACCATAAAAAAAATTTTGTCCATAAAAATAGAACGTGTTCTATTTTTGTGTGCATAATATGCGCAAACAGCATGCGCAATCTGTGATCCTAGGATATTGTTTATCAAAGTAATTGAAAATTGAAATTCATTAAAAAGAAAATAGAGTATTTGTTTGTCTTCAGGTCTGTAGTCAATTAATCGAAGTATCTACCTAGTTGTAATTTGAATATAATTTTAAAGTATGGAATTTGACGAATACACATTGTATAGTTCAGTGGCAATTTATACAAATATGCTAGCCCTAAAGTTCAATACACGTCGCAGGCGAAGAGTTTGGTCAAAAAATGGCATGAAAGAAGGAATATGGGAATGGGGATATTACATATGTTAAATGACGAGCTACTACAAGAAGACTCTGCAGCATATAAAAACTTTTTACGGCTAACTAACCACCAATTTGAAAAACTGTTGCGATTGGTAGAACCACATATCAGTCGCCAAGATACTGTTATGAGGCAATGTGTTTCAGCGAGAAGCAGGTAAAGAAAATGCTGATTGAAAGTGGTATATATTTTAGACATGTTATTCAGGCTTGAACTTACGCTTCGCTTTCTTGCAACCGGAGAGTCTTACCGTTCGTTGATGTATTCTAGTAGGATACATGAATCAACCATTTCTCTATTCATTCCTGAAGTTTGTGAAGTCATATTTAATGTTTTAAAAGATGAGTTTTTAATGGTAAAGTTTTATTTTATCAATTCTCTATATATACCTATCTCTTCTACATTACAGACTCCATCTACTCCCGAAAGTTGGCAATCAATTGCTGATCAGTTTATGGAACTATGGCAATTTCCTCAATGTGTAGGGGCGCTTGACGGACGTCATATTACATTTAGATCTCCAAAATCGGCTGGATCATTTTACCACAATTACAAAGGGGATCATTCACTAGTATTATTGGCAATGGCCGATGCGTGCTGCAAATTTACATACATTAACATTGGTGTTAATGGTAGAATAAGTGATGGTGGAGTGTTTCGTGATTGTACTCTGTCAAAAGCAATTCAAAACAATTCGTTAAATTTTCCACAATCTCGACCATTACCAGGATCCAGTAACAATGTTCCATATGTGATAGTTGCAGACGACGCATTTCCACTGTCCACAAGAATATTAAAACCTTATCCACAACGAGGTTTATCTCACGACAAGAAGATATTTAACTATCGGTTATCAAGGGCACGACGTATCATTGAACATGCATTTGGTATTCTTGCCAACAGATTTAGAGTATTGTTAAATCCGATATGTCTGTCACCAAATAAAGTAGAAAAAATTACTTTAGCTTGTGTGGCACTACATAACTATTTATGTACAAATAGTGGACAATTTTATACTGATTTTGACGAAGCATCAATTATCACATTGGATACATGGAAACCACAGGGAACAAATCGAACTTCCAGATCAGCATTATCTGTGAGGGATGAATACAAAAATTACTTTTGTTCTCCTACTGGCAGTGTAGAGTGGCAGGATGCAGCAGTTTTAAGACACAATTGTTAATCATACAATTTGAATAAGTGTATATATATGTATATAGGATCACTCAGATTTTATTTGAAATTCTTGGAAATTATATGTACAATATCGCTTTCTATTTTATCTAACAAATCGTCATTCTTGATGCGGCGTAATTTTGGTTCAATGTACTTAAGAAAGACATCAATCCTATCCGCCTTGATAGTGCTAACATCAGGCTTCTTGCGTGCAACTGCATTAGCAATTTCATTTATCGCTCTGCTGGCATCTGCTAAATAGTCGATTTCATTCCCCTTTTTTCTCTTTAGTTGAGATTGTGGTCGGCTGGTTTGTGGCGTCTGTTCAATTACATGCACATTTGAGGCGCCTCCATTGACAGGTTCCTAAAGTACATTTATTTACCGAAACATTATACTTATTGACAAATATAAGGAAATACCTCTTCAGTTTGTGAATCGTCTGGTTCGTCTTCATAAACAACCTCTTAATTGTGAAATGTCCGTAAATTCCAACGATTCAATATTACTGTCTGATGAAAGAGAAGGTGAAAGAGGCTTGGGGATGCTATCATAAATGGCTGTCTTTGCAATTGAATGCTCCAAAACAAACAGCATTAAATCATAATACCAAATGGTAGGTATATACACCTTAAAACATACATTTTTAGAACTATACGATTTGTTGCAATGTAGATTTGCATTTACCTGGTCTGTACCGCTTCCACTTTTCATGGAGTTTTGGTGTTTACGATATTCCACTAAGAAATTTTGTCGAAGAGCTGCAAACTTATTTTTTACATCTGCAATCGTTACACCTGCTTTCACTGCCTCCAACTTTGAACAGATGTCTGTTAAGGCAGCATTTCTCGCATGCTTGTTTTTGTATTGTGGGGATTTAACCACATACAAGTAAGGGTGATTTTTGTACACTTCAATGAGCATGGTGACCTGCTCTCTTGACCACGACATTTATTAAAAGATTGTTATTTGCTACAATCACAAGAAATTGCTTATTGCACAAAACCGTTAATATAGTGACAGAGAATAGTGAAAACTGAATGTGATATATTATTTTTGGTTATGTAGTATGTACATTGCTGCCATTCAAAAAAATCCCTAGATTTCCAACAGCTGAATACAGAATTTCCCTATATTTTTTATCATAATTATATCCATAGTTTGACAACGTGTAAAGGGCGGTATAGTTCTCGTAAACATAATTTTAAGAACACAAATATACTTCAAATTTTTATCACAATTGTGGCCATAATTATGACTCGTGTAAGACGGGTCTTATATACATTTACCTACGTGTTTTAATATTCGGAATCGGCCTTTAAGTAAGCCGTAACATTGCTCAATAAACACTCTAGTGGAGGAAAGTTTGTAATTAAAATTTCTCTGCTTTCGTGTTAAGTGACCGTTATCTTTATATGGTGTTAACAAGTAGTTAGTACATTTGTACGCCGAATCCCCCAAAATATTCGTATCTGGAAAGAGTTCAAAGGGTGTTTCACGAATTCTTTTTTTCCTAATGGTGAATTGTGCCATACACGCGCATCATGGACGCTTCCAGGATAGCCTATTATTGAGGCCAATAATGGTAAACTGGTACACAAAATGTATATTATACTAATACAAAGGTTACAAGGGGTTAGTCCGTGATACGAGTAACTCCGTGATAGTTTGTATTTATGCTTCCACCGTTGAGTGAAGGATCTAGGTAGAGAGGCAATGCTTATGTTAAAAGCATAGTGAACGTGGGGTTTGAGATATAGGCGGCCAAGAGTGATCTCAGATCCCGACGGCAACAACCAAGTCGGCGATCCAGATCCGGATTGCATTATTATATTTTCATATTTTCGCTACCACAATATTAACCTTACAATTACATTATCGCTTTATTAAATTTGCGCGCAGCAGCGTTGAGCAAAGCGCGGGCAACAGGCGAAATATACGGTTACGGTAGGTCCGTATCAGAGGCTGCATGTGGCCCTTGTAAAATTAATTTGTGATCGATGATCGAAACAGTATGTTTACGGTGACCGAAACATATTATTTAAAAGTATTATAATGCACATTTTATATCTAGGTATATTCTATATAAAACAAGCGGCCGCATCAAAAGCAAGCCTTTAATCATGATAGCAGAATAGCTAGATAAAGTTACCAGCAGATTCGCCAATTAAACAAGTTGTCTTTGACCTTCCCGGTTATGATAAAGAGAAACACATAAAATAAATGATAATATACATAGTCACAGGTACCTATCATTATAAAATTCAGTAGGTACCGTCTTTTTTTCAAATTGTCACGTTAATTGCGAGAGAGTACCTATACCTAGCGTTATCGGTTTAAAATAAGTCGGTAGTGTCAGGAGACCACTTTAAGGCCCCACTGCTTTTAATGATTTTTTTGAACTTAGTTATTTTTTGTTTTGTTCAGAAGTCAAAGCCTAAAAACAAGAAAAAGAAAAAATTTGAACGAAGACGTTTCAAAAAGAAATGGTGCCCAGTGGATTGAGTGTACCTTTTGTTTAATATGGTACCACTGTCAGTGCCAATACGTAGATGAATCAGTTGCTTTTATGTGTGCTGCATGTGCAGCAGGAAGTGCCTATTCACGAATCAGATTACCACTAGAGGCGTTGCGATCGTTTACAAATGGCGTTTATAGTTGGGAGAAAATTTGTAAACAGAAGTGTGTTTGTTTTGGATCTGTAGGAGGGGTTAACCACTCTCAAAATTGCTGTACACCACATTTTAAATTTCCACATTTCTATGGCATTTCCACATTTCTATGACATTTCCACATTTCCATGACATTTCCACATTTCCATGACATTTCCACATTTCCATCACATTTCCACAACATTTTCTCATTTCTATTACATTTTCAAATTTAAAAAAAATTTAAATTCAAAAGATTTTAAAGTTATGATGAGATTAAACAATATTTAAACAATTGTCAAACAACAAATTTGGTATGTACATTCAACCGCACTTTATTTTACTTAAATTTTTGTTAGTGGTTAAGTTATGAGGCGCCGTTCAGGACATAAATACTTTTTTTGAATTTATAAAGTTTTTGCAATATATATATAATGTTTTCACGAATATATATATAGGTTTTGGCTAAATATATACTTAAATTCGTAGAAATACAAATATAAAAATGTTCGATTATACCAAAAATATATATATTTCGTGCCTTAGAACTTCTATATATTTTTGTGCACATAAAACTTAGAAATTATATAAACTCTAGTTCCCACACTTGCCGCAAGGAACGCCACATGAAAAGAAATTGTCTGACGTGGGTTTGGCAACCTCGCATTATATTTAAGATGTAAATAAAACACACGTGTTTTGTTGTCCTTCGCAATTTCACATAAATACACCACCTGTCGTTCGTCACTTCACCAAGTTGCTGTAGTTTGTTTAGTTATATTTATCCAAGACTTACAGCGCTGCATTGAACAATTTCTTTTAATTATTCGTCGATCCTCCTGAAAGTAATCACATTATAAAAGGTAGGTAAAATAAGGTACTGGTTATAAGCTGTAAGAGTACCTATTACGCCAAAGCCAAAATCTGCTCTATTGCAAAACGCGCGAAATGTAATCTGATCCTAGCAACTTGGTATTATCGCTGGTTCATTTGTTTCAAGCGTTTTACAATTGCGCTGATTTTTGGGTATTGTAATTGCAGTAGAATAACAAAGCATCTTTGATTTCAGCTTTTTTAAATTTATGACCGAAATGGATATTAGGGAAACAGTAGAAGAGATATTACAAAGTCCGCAATTACGGCATTCATTAGAAGCTACAGTAAGAAACTTAACCTTGCCGCTTCAACAGAGACAATCACAATTGCCAGTTGTAAACAGGGCCAGTGTTTCCTCCGGTAGTTCACTACGAAATGAGCTGCATAATTTATTTCCATCAATTGGACAAAGGAACAGAACCCGAAATCAAGGGCGAGGTCAAGTCAGGGAAAACAATTCCTCAAAACCCACACCGTTTTATAAAGATGTGATTTTAGTCACTTCTAAGAGGTGTCTTTCAACATTAAAAGGGCATGCAAAGGCTAAAGCGTATGACACAGGTAATAATTAGAATTATATTCAGAAAAGGCTTGCTGCTTTACTATTTAGCTTAGTTTGTACCAAAAGTTGATAGGTCAGTGATTAGCACGGACACTTGAAGCACTAAGGACGAGGTTAGCGCCCGTCGTTAGTGTTTATTAGTGCTTCATACTTTGCATCAGCTCGACCAGCGGTTTTTGAGAAAACGACACCCCTTAGGACAGTACTGGCTTCCTATCCTTGTTGTAGGCCACGTTCATCATTACTCAAGGAAGAACTGATTAAATTACTAGTCCTGAGTGCTTCTAAGAAGGGTAGGAAGCCAGAACTGTCCTAGGGGGTGTCGTTTTCTCGAAAACGGCTGGTTGAGCTGATGCAAGGTATGAAGCATTAGGCACTAACGATTGGCGCCGGTTCCGTGTTTAGCGCTTCAAGTGACCGTGCTATCTTCACGAACCTAAGGTTGATGATTATTGAGCTACAGGATGTCAAACTTTAATATTTATTTTTGTTTTACATGAATAAAATTGTAGTTTTTCAACATACCTTCACAAAATTTTGTATAACTATATTTTCCAGCACTAAGAATCTACTAAGGTACTGAATTTTATGTACAAAGCAGGGGGCACTTGGTACATCATTTCTATTATGATAACATACATAACATTCTTACCAGTAGATTACCAGTGACTATGTTACTGTACAACCTGTGATCTATAAGTGTGGTGTCACACTATGCGTTTTTACCGCTCCCGCTAAAACGCTCCTGTTTGACGGGATGATAATATCACACGTTATTAAATGGTACTAGTCACATATATGCGTTTTCGCCGCACCAACCGGATGCAACCGCATCCTGCTGCCGCTGCGCAGGATGACATGACAACCCCAATGACATGAAACCACGTGTTGTTGCACGTTGGTTGTCATCAGTTGTCACACTGAACGTTGCAACCGGGTGTTTTGTTAGGTTTACAATGTTTGATGTCGGTTTATTCATCGAGTGCGTGCATGCAAAAACTGCACTGTGGGAAAAACAATCTAAAGAGTATGTAGATAAAAGCTGTAGGGAGAAATCATGGGTAGAAATTGAATTTTTGGACATTCGGTAATATACAAAAAAAAATTTCTTGTTCATTCGAATTTTTTCATAAAACTTCGCGAACCTATTATTAGATTCTCGTCCTGACTTAAAAGGATCAATCTAATATTGACAATATATCTGCTTTCGCAATAGCCCCTCCGCCTCAAGCGCACAAACCATCTTTAACAATAATTGAGACATGACACTACTTAGACTGCCAAAATATAGCAAAAACGCATCCCGTTAAACCTGAATAGTGTGACAAGTAGATCTCATCCTGTCAAACCGCATCCGTTTTAGCGGGAGCGGTAAAAACGCATAGTGTGACACCACACTAAGGGTGCCCATGATCGGCCTTCAATATTTAAATATTCAAGACCAATCTTGCGCACCTTTACAGGACGTGGGGCATACCATAACAACTAATCTATTATGGCACCTCAATGTCGGGCGGGGTTTCTAGAATATTCGCCACAATATCAAGATTTGAGTTCGGTTTCCTATATTGCACACCCCTAGTAGGTTGAAATACATCTTAAACTTTATTATGTTAAATGGCCATAAGTAATGAAATTTCGAATGTGGAATTTCACAACGGCATGAAATTGGAAGATCTAAACAATTTAATTTATTCATTATTTTCGGATAAATTAATGAATTCCGAATATGAATTTGTAGTGCCTATTAGTGGAAGATTGACGAAATTAAGTTTGCAGAGTGGATCTCAATTAAATGGAGAAACTTTAAAACGAGTTTATCATCAGAAGGTTGTTTATATCAGACCCATGGAAGATCTGGCTGATAACAATAGTAATTGTACACCTGAAATGAACAACGTGGATACTCCAACTCCTATTGATGATAACGACGGGGTTTGCCTCACTGATCAGTGGCACAGTTCACCAACTGGATTTGATGTACAGTCTGATAATTTAGTCAATAGTGGTGAAGAAACAAACCTTTTGCAAGAGATCTTAACAAACATTAACAGTAAAATTTCATTGGAAAAAACCAATCAATTTAATGTATACCGGGCAGATGTGTTTCATTGCTGCATACGTGCAATTAGAAGATCTTCATTTGATCCATTTGCAAAAATTGATGTAAAATTCAGTGACATAGATGGCCAATCAGAAGGTGCTGTAGATATGGGAGGGCCTACAAGGGAGTTATTTCGATTATTGATGAATTATTTAAAAAATTCAAATTTGTTTATGGGTCCAGACAAAAAGTATATTTCACTGGATGCTTTAGCACTTGACAAAAGATATTATTATGATGCTGGGCGCATGGTAGCCTTGAGCATTGTGCACGCAGGTCTTGGACCTCATTTTTTTTCAAATAGTCTCTTTGTTGCGGTAACCAAAGGCGTCGAATTTGTCAAACCATTAAAGGAGTTTGTGGAATGTGATATTTTGGAAAAAATTAATAAATTATCACATATTAATGATGAAACAGAAATGCGTGAATATCTGCTTAACGAAAGCGTATTTTCAATTGCCGGTATTAATATAGTAAACCAGTTGATCGCCAGGAAGGATGAAATAATTGACGGTAAGAGTTTATTGGCAACTATATTAAATTTTTTAATTTACATTATTCCTGTGCAATAATAGGATTACATTGCAAGGTTCTACATGTGTTAATTTAGAGTAATCACTTGGTTCGGATTTTATATACTGGATGGTTCATTTATCTAGAAACAGTAAATTTTTACAGGAACTAGTGATCAATATTTAAATAAAATGTAGAAATTCAATTAAAAGAATAGGTTTCTATTTGAAAAAATAAAGGGACCACCTGGTTAAACTATTTAAATTCACTTTGAAATTAAAAGTAGAACGGTTAGTGTTAATAACACTGTAAGTAAGTGAATTACAGTGACCAGCAGAGTTGGACTGGGTCACTGGGTCACTGGGTCAACTGGGTCACCTGGGTCACTAAATTAAACTGGGTCGCTGGGTCACGTCATACTCTTTTCAGTTAGACCCAGTGACCCAGTTTGACCCAGTGACCCAACTTGACCCAGTGACCCAGTTTGACCCAGTGACCCAGTTTGACCCAGCCCAGACCCAGCATTTCACCCGGGGACCCAATTCGACCCAGTCACCTAGTTTGATTGAATAACGCAGTTAAGTCAGTGCCCTCGGTTCAAGTGTACAGATTATGCAATAAATGAAATGCTGGTTTGTTGAAAATAATACTCGATTGCTTGACAACTGCCATTTCTGTGATGTTTGCTTTAATACTGCCGTAAAAAACTTTCCATGTCCCGAATTGTATTAGAATAATGTTATTTCTTTGCTTCAGGGCTTACCAGTTTGCTTACAGGTGTTCATTCACATTTAATTTTTTTCTACTAGTTAGCTTAATCCAAATAAATCTTTTCTCTAAATACTTTCATTGACTACTTGACTACAAACTATAAACAAATGCATTTGATTTTTTTAGGTATTAGTTCTCTTGAATGAAATTGGGCTACGTGCTTGTTGCCGAATATTATTGAGGAAGTTTTTTTTTAATTAAAAGTTACTTGAAATTGTTTTGGATGATAACTAACAATAATTTAATTACTGGGCTACCGGGTCAGGACGGGTCACTGAGTAAAGCTGGGTCAGGGGATGGGTCACTGGGCAAGCTGGGTCACCGGGTCAAGCTGGTCACCGGGTTCACTGGGTCAAACTGGGTCACCGGGTCAAAGCTGGGTTCACTGGGTCAAGCTGGGTCCCCGGTCAAACTGGGTCACCGGGTCAAGCTGGGTCACTGGGTCACGCGGTCAAACTGGGTCACCGGGTCAAACTGGGTCACCGGGTCAACTGGGTCACTGGGTCAGTAAACTAACTGGGTCACCGGGTCACTCTATGCTTGACCCAGTCCAACTCTGGTGACCAGTACTGGGTAAAGGTAAATGATTGCAGACTGTTTGAATTAAAAACAATTCTAAAGTTGGTAAAAATGTCATTAATTTAAAAGCAGTGGTGTACCAATGTACCAATGTGATGGACAACTAAATAATGATCACAGTTAATTAATTAAAGATAATTATTTTTTTTATGTCTTTATTTTATGGTGGGAAAAGTATTAGCTGATAGCTACTCTCGATACTCGACCCAATAAGATTCGAACCCAGGATGTTTGTAACCAAAAAGCTGCCAGCATAAATCTATATTAAAACGCATGTAGTGTTTCTGTTATAATTGTTTTTGTTTTTAGCAACAGTCAAGTTCTACCACATATATAGAACAAAACCTGCCTTGGACCAATTAATCGATGGACTAAAAACTTGCAATGTCTTAGAATTTCTTCAAAACCATCCGATTTTATTTGAAGATATTGTATGTGACAATAAATCTAAATTAAATAACACAATAATAGAAGAACTACCAACCGTAATGCTAAGTGAAGTAGGAAGTAATAAGAGACAAACACAAAACAGAATTCTAGCCTTTTGGAGAGATTACTTATTGGACTGTGAAGGTGAGTATAAGTATGAAAACATTCCTATAGTATTGCTGATGGTTTTTCAGAAGAAAATTCAAATTGCAGTCTGGAAGAATTGTTGGTGTTTGTAACGGGAGCTGACACTGTTCCAGCTTTGGGCTTTGGAACGAAAATTTACATTCGTTTTCAACATGATGATAAAATGATGTATCCAAAAGCTAACACATGCGGACTGGAATTATATTTACCAACATGTCATACAAATTTTGATGATTTTAAATATCATATGGATTTTGGGATTGGAAATTCAAAAGACTTTGGAATTGCTTAATTAAAATTTAATTCAAAAAGAAAATGTGATTGCTGTCTTAGAATTAATGAAAAAAATCCCTATCTATGATATGTTTTATTTTGACAAACACTGTGTTAATTAACACAGTATGTTCATAAACATATAAATTGAAGGATATGTTTATAGGGGTCATTTGTAGTTATTTTAACCTAAACATGCCTATATGAATGTGACGAGTTAGTGAAGTAGTCACAATTGACCTTTATTAGCGTCTTAAGTACTATGCCCAATTTTGTTGTTTTGTAAATAAATTCGAAAAATGTTTGGCTAATACAACTGCAAATGACCTCCAATATGTTTGTATATGAACCAGTCGCCCTGTATGTATATGAGTTTCATTTGTGAATTGGTACATGACAATTTATTTTTAGTGCAATAAATATGTACAAAACAAAAGATTGCGTGTGATCTGGTGCTATTAAACCTACCGACATGTAATTGGATACTACATTGTTATGACTGTTACTAAATAGCATTGGTTTATATGCTTGAAATAAAATTAGTTATAACATTTTATTTGATTTTATTATACATTTTATACTTAACAAATTTATTGAACACAATAAACATTATACAAAACCAAACATAGGTACCGAACTTCATTTTGAGAATGGCTCACAGTATAAATTACTGCAAACATGAATTAATGTATTCACGTACTCTAATATACAGTGAGATACCTTGCATTTCATCTTCTGCTAAAGGGTCTGCTACAATATTTCTTAATTGTTCTTCCACTTCTAAAAAGTGTTGTTCAGGCAAGGGAACTACAACATTATTGTTCGTTTGAATAACAATTGGACCTTCTGGATCAGATCCATATATTTCTGAGTCTTGAACATAAAATTCGTCTTCCAACAAATCAGAATTGTTTCCAACTAATCCCATAGTCCATAATTGTAGAGGTGTGTATCCATTCATTGTACTCAAACTGTGATTGTTCCACTGACTTACAAATTCATTTAGACTGTTTTGAATACGAGGCAAATAAATATACCGCAAAGCAAACAGATCAACCTCGTTTAGCTCGTCTAATAGGCTCTCATTTTCCATCCAAATAAAAAGTTGTTTATAATGTTTAGAGACAACTCTATTTACTTCTGCCCATAATCGCTCTATGCGTTGGTTATGAACAGATCGCCCCGTTATGTAACTTCCTCTGTTAATGCCACGTTCATTTAACATATATTCTGCAACAAGAATATTTTCGGTTCCATGGTCTCCACGAACTCTTACTGGTAGTCCAAACTTTTCAACACCAATTTTAAATAAGTTTAACACACTCTGTGAGGTATTATCTGGCAAACATTTCAAATATATAATTAAACGACTATATCCATCGATACATCCATGAAATACAAATCGAAATGTAGTCAATTTATGATTTGAATCCATATGCCTAAAATTTAAAAAAAAGTGTTAATATGTAAAGCCCCCATAGACTAAATTCAGAGATGGCAATTGGGTTTTTCAGAATTTCAATCAAGTACCCAACTGGTTGAATTCAAAGCATCATAATTCACCTTGATTGCCATGCTCTGTGTAACAAATAGATCGGTAAATACAACCAGTAGTTTACCTGAAGATTTCTGAAAATCACAGTATTTTTCACAAGTTACAAAATCTCACCATAAATAATTAGGGCCTTTCACTCTGTATGTTCGTCTGCAAATTGCATGTGTTCTTCGTAAACTTATCCGAATGGGATTAATAGCTTGAAGTCTTTCTCGTACTCTCCACCGTGCAATTTGAAAGTTTCTTGATCTTAAACTCCCAAGAACATAAGTTTCACCTGCATTTGGAGTTACGGACAAAATATTATGTAGCATAGAATCCAACTCAGCGTCTGTGAGAAACTCCCGATTATCTTCAAATGACATGGTTTTTCGATGTCGATATAGAGTACGTACAGACATGTTAAGTAAGTCTGATATTCTTTTCCAGGTTAAACCAGAGTTTCGTAATGTTGTAAGTTGTTCTCGAGTTAAATTGTACCTTGGACGCCCAATATTATTTGAAACATGTAAAACATCTAAGCTATAATTACCGAGAGAAATATTCCTATGTTCACAATCTAAATTCTCAATCTCTCGATATTTGAATATCAGTTGTTCACAAATTGTATACAGGTGTTCTTTTAGGTCACAATGTGTAACATGGGAATACAATATATATAAAACTGTGTAAAAATCCTCAATTTCTACTAATTTAGGACGTAATACTTCTATGTCTCTGGTACATATACTTCTTGAAACAGTTTCGTAACATTGTAACAAACTATTAAAAAAATCATCGATTGTCCCAAATTCCATAACTTCAATACAATTATTGCAGATTTATCCGCACACATACATCTGTGCAATAATTAACCACAATTTTAATTAATTTTTATGTTTGGGTATATTTCCCGCCATTTGTTTTGTTGACACTTTAAACGTAATGCGAGGTTGCCATACCCTAGCGAGACCATTTTCTTACAGATGGCGCTTCTTACGGCAGATGGGGCAACTAGACTTTATATAATTTATAACTTTGTGTACACAAAAAGATATAGGAGTTCTAACGCACGAAATATATATATATTTTTAAATGTAAATTTTTATATTTATATTTTTACGAATTTCGGTATATATTTATTCAAACTGTATATATATTCATGAAAACATTATATATATTGAAGAAACATTATATATTTTAAAAAAATAATTATGTCCTGAACGGCGCCTCATATTAAGTCATCACTCTAAATATTTTGGTTTATAATATAATTTCTATTCAGTACTTTTTCTGCTACAGTATCACAACTTTCTCAAACTAGCATATTTTAATACGGAAAAATATCATCTAGAATTAAACCTAACCGTAACGCAGTCAGTAACCAAGGACTCGACCGAGGGTTCGACAAATATCGTAACGAACGTCAAATTGAAAACTATGTTACTGTTCTGACTCAAATTAATGTGCTAAGAATAATATGATCGTGAATAACAAGTAGGTATGTCTAGAAAAAAAAAACCTTTTTGTTAGTGAACATTTATTTCAGTTCTTTTTTTAGTTCCTTGTATAATTTTTGTATTACATGCCTATCATTTTCTGAAATTGTTAGATTACTTGTACCTATCATTTTAATTGGTCCAAAAAATATATATTTCTTATCAACCATTTGAATATCATTTTGTTTAGGCCAAACAAAAAAACTCAGTTGAAATTCAAGAAATTTAACTTTGTAATGTTCGTCATCGCAGATTTCAATTATACGGCCTATATACCAAGCTTCTGTATAGTATACGGCATAATAATTTTCCGATATTAAATTGATAGAAGAAAATACACTCTTGGGACGATGTTGTGTAGTTCTTACTCGAAGAAGACGGTCCGAACTTAATCTATAAATAGAGCGTTACACTTATGGATTATTCATAAAAAATACCTTATTGTTTGATCGTTAAATAACCAGCATAATGTCTTCTTTTTTACCGTAATGACTTTTCCATCTTGGCAAGTTACTTTAATGTATGGGCTCTTATGGTTTAGAGGTTCCAGAGGAATGTTGGTTAGATTTAAATCTGACAAACTAATAACAGACTCATCCGTATTTTCTGATTCTGGATGGTCGTCGAGGTTGTCGTCGTTGTATGTTTGTAGTACATCATTTGTTGCGGGATCAAAAGAGAATTCATCGGAAGTAAAATTTGTGGCAGTTTCTGTATGATTTTCGTCAAATACTACGTCCTCTTCAGAATTTATAGTTCCATCAAAAATCATTATATTTTTCCAAGCCTCGTGGTCATTGTCGTTGCAAGATATTTCCAAGGAGCGACAGTCGTCAACAGCTTCTTGCAATGCTAACATACAGATGTTTTCAATATCCTCGTCGCTTGGAAAATCAATAGTAGCGGAAGAAATTCGACCAGTTCCCATTCTTGTTGATTTCTCTCGTGGAAAAACGTAATCATCACGCAGTTCACACATAATATTAATAATAGTCTCAATTTTGTTTATACGGTTTAGAATCTCTAAAAGACTAAAATTTACTACAGTTGAATAAGTTGAAGTCAGTGATCGAGTAGCTCTAAAAATCTGTTCACATGGCTGTGAACTAAACAACCATGTTGCAAAGTCACAATCCATAGTTTCATCCCTAAATTTTCGAATAACTTTGATTAAAGTATGTGCATTTAGTTCAATGCAAATATAAGCATTGAGAGTAATGAAATTGTTGGTCACTTTAAACGAATCAGAATTTTTTAACCATTTTCTCCAGATGCGTAAAAAAAAGTCGCGTACCAAATGCATTTTAAACGTTCTTGAGGAGTTAAGCTTTTGTCCAAAAAAGATTGAAGAATTCGTCGCATTATTTTTAAATATGTAATCGTCCCTCTTGATTCGGGAACGTTGGTCAAAAGCTGAGATACGTTGAGACACAAAATTTTTTCCACAGAGCGGAAATTCATTTTATCTTCAGAATTTATATCCCCTAATGTTAGTAGATGCTTATCTTTAGATAACGTCTCGATAAGTGTTTTTAAATGTTCTGAAGTTGCTACAAAACTGCCCATTTGCAAAGAAATTTTATTGTTTACTAACCGCGATTTTAGTTTTGTGCCAATATGTACCGTGTCTTGGGTACACATATCACCATCATCTAGAGGAACGTGAAACCATTTCCACTGTTTATTTGTTGCGTTTGATAGTTTAGTACTTATTCTCATTGCTTTCAGTAATCTTGTGTCTCCGTCAGAGGAGAATCCCAACAGTTGTACTTTATGAAGGTTTGCATGTTCTTTTATTACTTTCCATCGTTCTATGATGTCTTTATAAGTAAATTTGTTGTTTGTCCCAAAGAGGGCCAAACAAAAAGAAGGAGCATTGTCGATCGGACACTGGGCCATCACAGTATAGGCGTATTGGGCTTTTTCTTCTTCTAAGAAGGTTTGTTGCATTTTCCGGGCTGAAGAAGCTTCGAAATATGTCGTCTTAGGTAAACCATTTTGTAAAGGTATAACAAACCCAACTAGCAAATTATTCTTGGGCGAATATTCAATTTTTTCAGTAATTTTAGTTGCGTCTTCACTTATCCACACAATACTCGGCAGATTGTGAGAATCAAGAAACTTTTTTTAGTTCTGCGAAACGCACCTTCATTTATATTTGAATTATTCAATAATCGATGTAATGTAGTTATTGACGGAATTGAATCTCTCATATTTGCATATAACGTTTCGTAGAGAAGCCTCCCTCCGATTAAATACAAATATAAAGCGAATTTTTTAATACAACTATTATATCTGTTTCCGCCATCAGATTTAGAAGCATTTGACGTAGCTGTGTCTATCATGGTTTTTAAAAAATTTGAAATAGTTTTACTTGATGATGACGCTTCGTTCTGGTTTAGGGAAAATTTCATACTTTGTTTATGTATAATCATCTTCAATTGATCATTTTCTCTTATAATCTTTTCAATGGCCTGTATTGGTTCATAAAAGTGGGTTATTAAACTTTGTCGTTCGTCTTCGAGGGTCTTTTGGCGTAAACGTTGATTCCTTTCTTGTCGTGAATACTTCGTTGCCAACCACTTACTCTCTTTAGTTATGTTTGCAACGTCATTTGCAACTTGTTGGGACAAAATTGTTATATTGGAGGCAGAATTGCAATCCCCTTTCATTTCTTCGATATTTGCAATTCCGCCTTTATGAAAATCCTCGTTATCCTTGTCACTTTCAGAGGAACTCGACAAGAGCGCTTTTTTTCTTTTCTTTTGGGGTTTGAACAGATTATTTACTTCATCATCTATCTCGGGATTTATATTAGAAGAACTCTCGCACATTTCGTTGTCAATTTCGTTGATTACCTGATCGACTATTTCTACAGATATATTGTCATTATTTTGAGAAGTTAGCTCTGAATGCTGTTGTTTGGTACTAGGTTCGATACTCGGCTCAATATTAAGAAGACGACTACGTCTCGGGCTGGCGTCATAGCAAAATTTTTCAATTGTTGATTGACGTACTTGACTGCTACCTGAGCCTAAACCACTAATTGATGATTTTTGAACTTTACTTTTCTCAGTCAAATGCTTGTTCACGTGTTGATAATAATTTGATAAGCATAAATTAGAACCAGGTTTGTTTTTCTGTAGCTGTTTAACCTGAAATTGTTATACATTTCTATATTACATGATACATAGTTAATGGTTTCTAAAAAAAAAACAACGCCGCGCATTGCATATACGTGCTTATAGTTCGGCATCAATAAAACAAAGCACAAGTTAATAACACAAAATTAACTAGCATTTAAAAAATAATGTTTACGTCAACTTTAATCTCAAACAAAAAAATCTAGTTGTGTACTTATTATTAATTTAAAAAAACTCGGAAAAAGTTATAACATACAACCATATTTAGTTAAAAAATGCTATATATTTTATATTTATGCAATTAACGCTTATGTTGTGAAATTAAATTATTTTAATAAAAACTTTTACCTTAACTTTTTGTTCACACATTAAACACGATATAAGGCAACTTAAAAGGCCATCACCATCTTCGACACAGCGGAACTCATCAAACTTAATTTTGTTATGAAATGTTTGTTCTTCACTCTTACCATTGACTAATACTCCCCCCATAGACAGCTACTTCAAACATAATAACGTCGTCAGTAAAATTTATTATTGATATAAGTAACAGGTGTCGCCGCGATACAATTATTCTTTTAGATACCACAACTAAAGTTGCCCAATGCAACATAGAACCTAATTGTATATTATTATTTTGAAGGTCAACTTATTTCTTCGGCGCGTTATCTCAATAGGTATCATATGTCGGTGTTTGCAAGTCGAGTGATGTGCAGTCGGTAAATAAAACAAGTGAAAGAAATTTATGCATTTTTATTTCATTCATGGCGTAAAATTGTTAATTTGCCGGGTCTTTTCATACGTTTCTTCCTATCTGCTTCCATCCGAATTTCTCTAGATTTCCACAGAGTTTTCTTGTGCAAAAACAATAAAATTGCAAATTGCACAATAAAATTTCTGTGGACCTGGCATTTATTATTCAAGTTCCACGACGGGTACTTTTTAGCAATAATATCTACCACTACAGTTTCCAGTGTTTTTAAAACTGATGAACCACT